TTTAAAATATATTCCAAATATTAGTAGAGAAATTGTGATTATTAATTTAAAAAATCTAATAATTTTCCAAAACTCATGGAAAAGTCATAGAAATGTATGTCAAACATGTGGACACACTGCCTGTAGACCTTTGTATTTACTGTATCACCTGTATCACTACCACGTAAAACTGTCCATTTCTTATTAGTGGTGACTGTATGAGGCACCGAATCTGTGTTATCTTTGTAGAAGCTGACCCCAGATCAGATTTTCCATGTGGTGGTGTCTCCCTGCTTTGATAAGAAGCTTGAAGCTGTGAGAGAGGAATTCTACAACAGCATCCTAGAGACCAGAGATGTCGACTGTGTGCTTACGTCAGGTACGACTGTGAGGAGACACTGGGCTCATTCTCCTGTTACCTTTTCAGATCAATTATTAACAAGCAACTGGTTTAGACCAAATTATATAGATTTATTTCTCCTCAGAATCAGAATCAGAAGAGCTTTATTACCATGTATGTTTACACACACAAGGAATTTGACTTGACGACAGGAGCTTCCAGTGTAGAAGAAAGTACAAACATAGTGCAGACATACATGATAGTGCAGACATACATAGGAATAACACAGTAGGGATGTAGTATAACACTAATATAATAAAAAATAATAATAATGTACTATATACAGAAATAGAAGTATAGGAAAAAATTTAATTGTTTAGATAAATGTACAGATATGTTTATTAGTGTGCAGATAGACCAAAAATATATAATATGCTAATATAATATTTCCCTGGTCTATCTTTCCTTCTTGGAAATGATCGGCAAGGTTTATTGTATGTTGCACAGGTTTCAATGGAGGATGTTTTTGTGATCTTTGGACTCCTGAAATGTCAATAAATTACTCTTTTTGTTTAGGAGAGATTCTCCACTTAATGGAACAAAGCAAAGTTACTGTTGAGGAAGTGGACTCTGCTCCTTTGGATCATGTGTAAGTAAAATTAGCACCATTATATTGGGGTTAAAATAAACAATCCCATAGTTCTTTACATTTATTCTATTAAAGCAAAGGCAATCAGAGTCTTGCTGAAGTGTTGAAAGTAAGAGGCACACAAGAGGGTAATGAGGCTGGATAATAATCCTGAAATGTGTGTGTTTGTTTTAGATTTGGTGAGACCAGTGACCCAGGTATGACCAGGCATGAAGGTCGTGGATCTGAAGGCTTCCTGGAGCACATTTTCAAACATGCAGCCAAAGAGCTGTTTGGCATTGACGTCCAAGAGATTGTGTACAAGACACTCAGGTGAGAGATAGACCAGTGAGTTTTTGATGACTGTAAATGGATATTGGTAATCTATATTATTCAGAAATTCTGAATATGTAGGCATTACTAACTAATGATCCTTATTATTATTATTATTATTATTATTATTATTATTATTATTATCCTTCATTAGCTTTGTAAACACCCGTATTATTCCTGCTAGGAATCGAGACTTCCAGGAGGTGGCGCTAGAGCGTGATGGAGAGACTCTCCTGCAGTTTGCTGCAGTTTATGGCTTCCGGAACATTCAGACTTTAGTGCACAGAATGAGGAAAGGCAAAGTGCCCTACCAGCTAGTAGAGGTGCTTTCCTGCCCCGGAGGTATGCAATACCTATAAAAACAAACAAAATTACAAATATTAAATCAAATTTGTTTTGGTTTTTAGCTAACTTAATAGGTGCTGTCATTTATAAAAATAAGCTTGAACATATTATAGGGTTTGCATGGTAATAGAAAACTTTAAAAAAGCCTAGAAAAGTTATAGAAATAGTCAATGTTTGGGGCCAATGTTTCTTATGTTTTTAAAAGAAGTCTCATATGCCATCTTTAAATATCAGATATAAATACATTTGTGATATTAAATTATTAGCATTATTAATTATTTGTGCATTGAAAAATGTTTCATCGTTGACAGTAAAAGTACCTTTCCTTTCTTATCTCTCCTTCTTTTTGACTTTCAGGCTGTTTAAGTGGACGAGGACAAGCTGAGGGAGAGGGAGGTCGTCCTGACCGAACTTTGGTCCAGCAAATGGAAGAACACTATAGCAGCTTACCTGTACGACTGCCTGAAAGCAACCCAGAGGTCCAGCGCCTCTACCAGGACTGGCTGGACTGCCACGACTCCCCACATGCGCAGCAATGCCTCCACACTCAGTACAAGAACCACACGCAGCCGCCCTCTGATATGCAGTGGTGATTGGAAGTCAGCACTGCATTCCCACATATCTGGAACCAAGCTTGGCATTAACAGCACCAATCAAGACTGGCTGTTTGATGCCATCTTGGGCTCACACGGACTGCAGTGTGTCGGCAGTAAAAGAAAAGTTGAACAGAGGACCAAACAGGCTTCCTGTTCTATGCAGTGAATCGGACTCTGCTTTACTAATGAGAAGATTTGCATTCGTTAACTAGTTTTCTGGAGCATTCACTCATGTTACACCTAAATGATGTCATGCATGGTTGGGCAACCAGCCGTGTTATTAAAAGGACAATAGCAATAACACAAGGCAAAAAGCCCTGAGTATTATTGCTATTAATTACTGAACCCTGTTAATATGCACTGAAGGAAATATTGATGGCATTTTGTGTATGACTATAACTACGAAACAACTGTAGAAAGTACAAAACTAATACATATTGGTGCAATTAATTAATTAAAGAATACCAATCATCAATTAAAGCTTAATTACTTTTTTAAAATAAAAAATATATATATTTTGACCAATTTGATTACGCTTTCACCTACCGAAAAAGTATTACTACAGCACAGAAAGCATCTTATTTGTCCACAGATTCCATCTGGGTCTGGTTATAACTTATTGTGTGTTTATAAATGTCTTATATTGACATGAAAACAAACTTTTCTGTATTAAGTGTTCAGGTTATTGTTTTTCTAATGAGAAACTAGATGGCAGAATACATCACTACGTATGGATGGATGGATGGATGGATGGCAGTTGGGGCCTCAAATCCCTCACACTGTGCCCAGTATGTATCAACTACTGCAATAACCTCTTTGCGAGCGGTTACAACTGTGTGAGCTTGTGTTGCAACTGGCTGCTCTGTCACAATGTTTCTTTGTCATAAAATTCATCATACTAGCCACATTATGTGCTGCAGCTCCACACTTCAGTCATTGAAGTGGTAAGCTGATTTTCTTATTGATATATTTATATCTGAAATATTTATATTTTCAGATATAGTGCACAAAATGTTACTGAAATTCGTTGAGAAATGCCTTAAAATGCAGTTTATGATTGAAGAATTTGCACTGTGTAACATTAAGGATAATTCTAATTCTCATCATATGAAGCAATCTTGCCTCATTGCACAAACATGCATGCTCTTCCTTGCTTGACTAATTTTGAGCCATTAACCACTATAGTGAATTCAGACACATGTGAAGCCAAACACAGGAGCAAGGTAGTAATGACTTTATTATGGAGTCTCTTGATATTCACACAAGAGTTTAAAAGGCACATGATCACACAATGCTACAGAGATTTTCTTTGAACATTTAGTATATTTAAGTTTGTCACTTAGAGTAAATCCCATTTGTGATTAAACAGTAACACAATGTAGGGTGTGATTCTCATAACTTTGCTCAGGTATGTCAACTGGCAGATAATCTCTGCAAGCAAATGTTTTCTTTTTTTATTGCATGGAAGAAAGCAAAAGGTTTCCACAGTAACAAGGTTTGATTATAATGTGAGGAGAAATTCCTTGATGGGTAAACCTTTGGTGTTGGTATAGATATTTCTCATCAAAGCTATAATACATTCAAAAATCAGATCATAATGATGTTGCTTATTGATATGAATGACTGTTACTCTACACATAACAGAGGTGTACCAGGAATTTATATGGCAAAATGTTACCATTTTATTCGACCTTGTAATGCAGAAGCATGCCATGTAATTCCAACTATGTCCTGATGCAATCATGAATTCATAACAGAACTATTTTGAAGAAACCTTTTTGGATATTGGATATATCATGATTATTATAGAGAAACTGTTTAAGACTTTTAGAATATATCACAACAAAATAATAATTGTTGTTTATAATAATGTGTCCATATTTCATGTACAAACAGTGGAAAAATTCAGGCTTTATAACAATACAATAATGTTAGAAGGTTTAACTGGTTTTAAAAGATTAAACTAAATTACAATTATAAAAATGAAAAGGTACTTCAATTACCTATCCATATTAGTTAAAAATAATATACAATTTCTACATGAAATAAAAGAAATATATTTTTCTTTATCTACTTTTTACTTGTACTTCCCATAGCCCCTTTATTTTATTTACTTATTTATTTTATTAAACACTTTAAAAAACATATCCCAAGGAAAAGAGCCAGGGGTTCAAGGATGGCCAAACAATACATAGCAATTAAAATTCAGAAGAGAAAGAGAGAGAAATAATAAAAATAAAATAACAAAAAACAATTACATTCAAAATAAATAAATAAATGGGAAAAATTTAAACAGATCACATAACAATAAACATAATCTTTCCCACAAAACATAAAAATTCAACATAAAAATTATTCAAAAACAAAAAGTGAGCATACATTCAAAGTTTTAGTTGCCTTTTTGGTAGACAAGGATTTAATATAGAACTTAATATCTTCTTGAAAGTAAGAAAAACGGGGGGTAACTTTCATAATCTTGCATTTGTGAATAAAATATTTTGCAAGCAAAATAATTAGGTTGCAAAGAAAGTAAACATTTTCATACTGCTTCCCAAAAGTGAAAGATCCAAACAAAACACCAGTGTCATTATTTATGAAGTTAACAATGAACTGGCAAATGTTTTGCCAAAGTTTCCTTGTATGAACACAATGCCAAAAACATGCAAGACAGTTTCTGGTTGTGAGTCCCATAGCCCCTTTTACCGTGCCAGAGAACTCGCGCCATGACGTTCTTCTGATTGACAGGTGAACGTTCCAATCAGTGAGAGCAACAGACGGAGGCGGGTCCGTGAAGCGCTGACTGTCTACGCTTCAAAGAAAACTGCGATTTGACTTGCAGTGTTGCAACACAGTGAAGACGCGGAGTGGGCGGAGTGGGAGTTTTCTCTTCACACAACTACTTTTCGTTGTTGCCTCCGACTTTCAGTTTAGCCGGACTGCTGCTTTTGTGTATCTATAAGTCTTAAAGTTTTAAAATGTCCAGCGACCTCAGGCCAAAGCTGTGCGTCTTAGAAAAAGGGGATAACGGCTACGGTTTTCATCTCCACGGCGAAAAGAACAAGCCAGGTCAGTTCATTCAGCATGTGGAGGCCGACTCTCCGGCCGCCGCCGCGGGTCTGCTGGCCGGGGACAAACTGGTGTTCGTGAACGGGGAGAATGTGGAGGACGAGAAGCATCAACAGGTGGTGTCCCGCATACGAGACATCACGGACCAACTAGAGCTCATCGTGATGGATGCAGAGACCGCAGAACTGCTGCAGAAGCACAACTTGAAGTGCCAGAAAGAGTATGTGACTGATGGCATACCGATAGCGAGCAGTGCTGGATCGGACCATGAAGACGAAGTGAAGAACGAGACATCAAGGGAGTCCACCCCTGTCCCGGAAACAAACGGGGACATACGCATGGATAGACTGAGCGTGAGCTCCAAGGTGAGTTCAACTAAACGAACAGCTTTTATGAGCAAATTTCCATCTCTTAAAAGATTATTTTGGATCTTAAGATGCGAGAGAAGTTGAGTCTTCTGCACATGCGTCAAGTTTGACAGGTGTCCCCGTACACTTTGGGTATATAATTCATAGCATGATATAGTAAATATGTGTATATGTAGGTTAATGACAAATAAGCATGTTCGAGATTATTAAAGATGATAAATCTCTTAAAAATCTAGTTTAAAATACACTTTTATATAAATATTTTGTATCTTCACATTCATGCTGGTTACATACATTTTTGAAAGAATGTTTGTAGGCCTAAAACTTTTCCACATATATTCTGGTTCAGTAACTCTCAAAATGTCAAGTGGTGTAACCATTAAACTAAAATACTTTAACTGGACTTTAAATACACTTGAGTTTACAGAAATTAATAGTTTTCAAGAGTTTAATACTTTTGACTTTACTTCTTTTTTTTTTAATCTCTGGCTGGAAAGTTATAGCCTACCACATTTGACATTTTGATTTTTGACTTTAATCCACACAAAAGCTATCAAAATGACTTTTAATTCAACAATTAAAAACATGTTCATCATAGCAGATGTGTATTCAAGTCAATTTTTTTTTAATAGATTTAGACAAAAATCGTCGAATATTCTACTAGTTACCAATATTATAATCGCAGCAGAACATGTCCACAGAGAAGCTAAATTTCACATTTTCTTATGGCAAGTTTCATTGCACATAGTTTGATGACCAGGCCACTTTTTGTGGATATGTGCCCATATTAACAACACTGTGTTTGGTGGGGAAAAATGAACAAGTGCGGCCCTTCTGAAACGTTTGAGGACATTTCAATTTTTTAAATCAGATATTCTTTGTGTTGCATCACGGGTTTTCACATTGCTTCCAGTCTGACCTGTCAGCCATGAGGACAGTCAAACATGTTTCCCCGCCTTTTGGGGAACGACACCTGTCATCAGCTGCATTAACCAAATTCCATTACGTCATAGATGGTGAAGGCCTGATTACTTAATAAATAATACTAATACTATTCATGCAAAGTAAATTAGCAATACGATGTTACTTATTAGAAGGTATTGTTATTTGGCCAGTAAATGATAACTGAGAGCTGTCTATAAGGAAGAAGTGGAAAAATTATTCTCATAGATCAGATACACTTCATATGTGTATCATATGAAGTGTCATAACTGAGCTCTTTGATCATTTACCATTGTTGAAGTTTTAAGATTACATAATAATGTAGAGTGTATAGGTCATTTGCATGGCTTTCAAGTGATACAACATTTTTATGTAAGAGTACAAGGTCTTGCAAGTGATTTGCAGTTGCAACAATTGTGCAATAAGAACAGAAAAAGCTTTATCTTTATTCCTGTGATGTTAATCTGAAGGCCTTTCAGTGGGCAACGTTCTCTTTCATGGGACAAATATACCCAAAAATGAAAATTCTGTCATAATTTACTCACCCTCATGTTGTTCCAAACCCGTTTGACATTCTTCTGCAGAACACAAAAGAAGATAATTTAAATAACTCGAGGAACCAAATCACTTTGGATCCTATTGATTGTCATTGTGCAGACATGAAAAAAAAAAAAAACCTAAGCTAATCTCAAAATATATTCTTTTATGTTTTGGAACAACATGAGGATGAGAAAATGAGGACATATCCCTTTAAGAGGATGCCCTATTATCCACATTCATTTAATTTTCATTCAGTCAAAGTCATTGGAGGCACTTTATTGATTTCTTTTTTTTCCCATTGAGTTTCAATGGAGCTCTATCAGTTAGACGGTAAATAAAACATCATACTAAATATACTTCATGGTTTTCTTGAGTTGTAATTGTTCGAGATGAGGACAAAAGCCAGCAGACTAAGCTGACCCCAATAAAGTTTCAATCCCTTGCCTTGGAGATCCTGGAGCAGTGAAGGGGGTTATTGTGGAAAGTTACTCTTTGTTTGGGTGCAGAAGCAAGATTAGAGAGAGAGAAGCCCACAGAGTAGGATTGAGATTTTTTTCATCCTATGTAACAGATTAGGATGTGCCATCAGGCTTGGAGAAGTTACTGAAGATCAAACCTAATAAAGCAAGCACCTCTATAACTTGAATGATTGCTCAAATAATATGGATTATTTAGAGATTATCATAGACATTTGGGAGTGACACAGATCCCTAGCAACCACCCAGAATACTCTAGTGACTGCGTTTTTGCACAGGCAAGCCCCACTTACATTTTCTTTAAAAAATCTAGTTAAAAGTTACTATAGAAGGCGATTAAGTTTTCGAAAGTGCCGGCACAGCAAAAGCAAATGTCAAGTGTGCAGTTTTGATGCTAGTTATTCTTTTACATAAAGACATACAGGCCAGTGTTTGTCAGTCCCTTTTCTGATTATGTGGCATGAGCCAGAAATAACTTTAATCATCATAAACCTGGCGGACCAGAGAAGTCCTCTGCTCAATAACAGTTATTTAGAGTCTCCGGAACAATATGGATTGTAATCACATTTCTTTCCAGCAATTATCAGAGCTACAAAAGTGTTTTTGAAGCCCTCAGTCAACCATGAATGGCCCTTCTGTTGTGTCGTTTTCCTCTCACCCTCCTGTGTCCCATCCTTCCTCTCTGTGATCATTCAGAAGTAAAATGCCGCTGGAGGGAACATCCTTGGATCGGCTGTCAGTTAAACCCAGACTAAGCTTTGTTCTTGATGGCAGTGCCCTGCGGGATGCTGTTTACTTACTGAGATGAGTTTTCAGAGCAGATTACACTCAGACAGCTTGCTCGCATTGTGTTTAGCAATAAATGATGAAAAAGAGGCAGAACAAATGATTTATGAAAATTAGATCAATGTCTGAGTCTGGAATATTTCCTGACATTGCAGATATTTGAATCATTCTCTGATAATGATTCCTTCGCATAATTCTTCAGAAATGCAGGTGTGTTGGGAGGAAAGAAAGGGTATGTTTCTTTGGAACAATCCTCAATAGTTTGCTTTGATTCTATTTATAATAAGTGGCATGTGATGTTGATATCAATCACTACATTGTGTGCTTGTCATTCTGTGTGTTTGCAGTAAAGGAACTATGCTGTTCATTCAGTGTTTTATTTATTAATCAGGTTAGCGTCATTTTAATTAGACGATAAAAAGATGGAAGTGGCCTACTTCCTAACTTCACCAATATTACAGTTATAGACTGGTGAAAGTGGATCGCTGTTTTTAAGTAATTAAACTTACAGCTTCATTGTTTGTAGAGAGAGACACACAGATGCAAGTATTTCACACATGCAACTTTCATCTCTCTCTCAAAATGGCCATATTTCTATTGTAAAACAGTTGACTAATATTAAATGATTTGTAGCTTCCATCTTACCTCGCTCTCTTTCAGCATTAAACTGACGCTTGCTTCTGTGAACGGTAAATCCCGCCTACTTTGATTTGATTGGCCAGCTCAATTATTTTGACATTGACGAAGGCGGTCAATGATTTGCTGTTCAAGAAACATTTCTTAATATTATTATATTATTGTCAATATTTAAAACAGTTGAGTACATTTTTTTCAGGATTCTTTGATGAATAGAAAGATCAAAGATCAGCATTTATCTGAAATAAAAAGCTTTTGTAACATTATACACTATACCTTTCAAAAGCTTGGAAATTTGCTGTTCAAGAAACATTTCTTAATATTATTATATTATTGTCAATATTTAAAACAGTTGAGTACATTTTTTTCAGGATTCTTTGATGAATAGAAAGATCAAAGATCAGCATTTATCTAAAATAAAAAGCGGTCGTGCAGTCGAGTGCAGTTGCTCTCCCCTAGCTGCGCTGACCAAAAGCACGATGGGAAATGACTCGCTGACGACACAATGGTCATTGGTTCAAACCACCGTGATGTTGCGTTCTCTTCTAAAATGTTTTATTTGTGTTATCTGATATCATGTGATTATGTGTTTAAATTATGCATGAATATTCCCAAACACCATGACAGTGCAATCTCTGTGTGAGATATGTGCTCGTTCTCATATTTCTAAAAAAAAATCTAAAATAAATGTTTGTATTAAAGTAAAAATGGATGATAAATATGTCTTTCGAATGGAATAAATAGCAAGTACTTTGAGTGTCTTGTTCATCATATTTGTTTTCATATAAAAGCAACAGAACTGAAATGATATGATGTTTATCAGCAACACAGCGCATGATTGTGAATAACGCGATATCTGTCTTTGATCACGTAGGTGTCTGTTCCACTTCGAGAGGTCAGAACTGTCCGTCTTGACTGTGCTTATTTCACTCCTCCCCTCACTGCAGCCGCCTACTCTCTCCTAAATTTCAGGCGAGGCTAGCCGCATCTCAAACGAGCCTAGTGTTTTGAAATTGCGACTTCTTGTTTCGAAATTTACATATTGTGCCTTTTAAAGGGGTCATATGATGTGATTTCATGTTTTACTTTGTCTTTGGACTGCTGCTCTCTGCCATGTTAACCAAAGAACAAAAGACAAAGAAAATCATTTTCTGCTCTTGACTGAATACGTTTTATAACTTTAATGGTAAGCATTAATCTGTATTTAATTTTTACAATGAAGACTACAGAAATTAAAGTAATCAAATCTAAAATAACACTGGATGTGTTATTTTACATTTGATTACTTTAATTTCTGTAGTCTTCATTGTAAAAATTAAATACAGATTAATGCTTACCATTAAAGTTATAAAACGTATTCAGTCAAGAGCAGAAAATTATTTTCTTTGTCTTTTGTTCTCTGATTAACATGACAGACAGCAGCATAAATATTGGACTGCGGTCCCTTTAAGAGTTTATCCACGGACCCAATATACAATTAAGCGGCGCTCGCGCTGACGCCAATTCCGTCCGTGTTTTGACTTCAGTAAATCAGTTTTGGCGAATACAAACAACGTGATTATTTTTCATGAGTCCAACATCCAGCCGCGCAAGAAAACATGCAATCCACCCGAGACG